CGAGAAACATTAAAACAAGTGGTAGGCCATTAAATGTCATATTGTGTAGCATTGACTTGGTCAGAGAAAGGACCGGCAGTTAACTGAACCTAGTGGGGTCATCTCGCTAATCCAATAATAAGGCATATTATACTACGCTTCGAAGTTATGGTGTTTCTAAAAAAAGGAAGTATATGAACTGAGTCTAGGATTTAGTGGGGTCATCTCGCTAATCAAACATAGACATCTAATATACCTACTAGACGATTAGTGTTTTTACCGTCTTTATGATGAAAGCGACAGTGATAAATATTATATTACAAAGGAAAGTAGATACGGCCTCGGATTTAGTGGGGTCAACTCGCTAATCCATATACTACAGGCATGGACTATATCCACTATATATCACTATCGTATTACGTTACCGTGTTTTTACAGTTTTTAACGAGCCATAATATTGCCAGAACAGCGTTAATATACAGACATTTTAAAAAACGATTTTTAATATTGCGCAAACCCTCAAAGTACATAAAGGATAAAATCATGAGGACGGTCCTACTAGCGGAAGCTATCCGATGACCGGAAATACAGTGGAACAGAACCAGTTGAGTAAACAACATCGGGGCGGGAGATATGGATAAGGGGGCGGGAATCGGGAGTTAGGGGGGCGGGAACCGGGAACTAGTGACCCCCCTGTCCGCCCCTCTTTATTGCCCAAGACATTTTCATGATCCTATCTTAACCTTCATTTTCTGTTAAATAATAATATGTATTTACAATATTAAGTCTGAGACAACACACAATTTATATAGATTTGATAGGCATAGATATATATATCGGCTTCAGATTAAGATCGTATGTTTTACTCTTAAATGCAATGGGTAAATTGTAAAAGTGAACATAACCATTGAAAGGACTCACCTTGACTATGCCAGCTCCGTATGGTTCCCATATAAGTCGAAACATATAGAAATGATAGAAGGAGTACAGAGGAGAGCAACAAAACAGATTCCAGGAATGTCAAACCTCACATATGAAGAACGATTGAGAACACTGAAGCTACTAACACTAAAATATAGACGCCACCGAGGGGACATGATAGCAGTATACAAGAGTATACACTTGTGGCAAATATGACCATCAAGCATCAAACTTTATCAAACTGCGTAAAGACCATGTAAACAGAGATCAAGGGAGGGGAAACTCAAGGAAACTACTTGTACAGAGGACGAAATTGAACACCAGGAAGTTCAGTTTCAGTGTGAGAACGGCAAACCTGTGGAATAGTCTTCCCGTGTGTTAGATCAATGAACTCCTTTAAAAATATGCAGGACAAATTCTGGAGTACACAAGATGTGTTATATGATTATAAAGCAGACATCAAGGAAATAAGGACAACATCAAAAACGTTAACACATTAACTTACATAAAGTTTTGCCTCTCAAATATTCCCGCTTGAAAACATAGATATTACTTTCCCAGAGGACGATCCGAACTTAAAGCATATCAATATTTTCATGTGATATCTTTAAATTAAAATTATTCATTCTCATCAGTTATAAAAATTAAGATATTATAGTTTAGGTTTTGTATTTTATAACTATAAAATATAGATAGAGTTTATGTCGAATGGCTATTTAGTTAAAAACGATCGAATACGCGGAAATGAACTTACTTGTGTAGAGTACAATCTTTATTCGATTTTATCGCTTGTTTTTGTAAATATGTGTAAATCAACCTTCATAAAAAATGGTCGATGTTATTTTTTTCTAAAGATGGTTATTAAGGTAAGAATTAATGTCATTTGTTAATAAAAACGGTATTGTGTTAGCGCGAGACTGAGATCTCAGCGGAATGTTTCAATATGGCGGACGATGGATTATGAACATCAATAATTCAACGGTCGGCTTTTATTTACCTTATGTATGACCGACTGTTTGTGATAAAGCTTTACAATGAACAACGTACGTGTGGAGGGCATAGCTTCCTCGATAGTTCGAGAATATCTCAGTCGAAAGGTACAGAAAATCACGGAATTCTTAAAAATAAACCTCTCACGTGCCCATGCCACTATCCTACGATTTTCCTGGCCGCCTACAGGCAACCAGGCTGTGACCGACGGCTTGTTACTGGTCGTTGATAACCCCAATGCCAAATCACAACAAATGTTCTGATTCTGTATGAGTCGTCTTGTATTTTTATGTAATGTTATGATGCTCAAGCAGACAAATTCGTTTACTATGGAACGGTGACTGATTGAACACCCTATATCAGGTCCAGTACGTACAATGTATACACTGTGCCGATTGAGCTATAAGCTTATAGATGTAAAGACCTATAATATATCTATTGACCTATCTGAAATAGGTCTTTCGAGCTAATTTCATGTGATTTTCTTTTTTAAGGAAAACGAAACAAAGTCGCTTTTAAAAGAATATTTTATCATTTATATAGGTTGATAACAATTTAAAACATTAAATATAAATATTCTTTTAAAAAAATAATGATGTAAAAAAATGGGAATAAACATCTAAATGTATGCTTTTTGTAGTCAACATTACCATCAACCTTGTTGTTTTATGCGACTTTGCTTTAATTTAATGAAAATTGAAATATTAGAAAATATAGCTCAATACAGCTATATAATTTATAGGTGAATATAGCTAAATAGGTCTTTATACAGTTGTGGGATCGCACAACGTTACACGATGTGTGGTGTGCGCACAATGTGTGAACGGTGCACGTGCATGATGTGCGAACGATAACAAGCATGACAATAATTGCTTGCGCACGATGGCCGAACATTGTGCGATAACAATCGTGGTTGGTGTAAATTGAGGAATGCCTTAACAATATATACGGTTTCGTGTTTAAACATATAAACTTGATTTTTACGTATTTTTCTATATTCTAGCTACATCTATAAGCTTATCTTTCTGTCTATACATTCTTATATCTATTAATTGTGTTTTCTGTGTTTTTTAAACAACCGTGATCGACACATGTAAAATTACAACACTGTCCCATATACAGGTAAACATAACCACTTTGTACATAAACCTGGACCGTAGTTTTTCCCCGCCCGGTACACTTACGTAACTCGTCGGGTAAGGCCGGGGTTGTGAAAACCCAGGTGAAAGGGAGATATAGGCAAACGAATTGCAAATAACAAATACTATTCATTATGGTCATGTGTCAGGCACAGGCCAGGTAAAACTCTGGTCGCTCATCAACACCTTGGAGCCAAACCCTTTCTAGACAGCCTAACGGTCACTGTATTGTAATACTGTGTAACATACATTGTAAAATTTTACATAATCTTGATTATTGTGATAAGAAATTACAGATATATACACAGTGTACATTATTGCATACGATCCTTCCACATTTTTGTCTTTCCGTAATATTGATTCACAAATTGTACCAAATCGCACAGTTGTGCGGAGAGAACAAACAACAGGGCGAATGCTTGTTAAGTCGCACAGTTATGCGCACCATGTGTGAAGGATGTGTGAAGGATGTGTGCACGGTGTGCGCACGCTATTTATGGTGCGTTGTGCGGTCACACAACTGTAGCTATATAGCTCAATCGTCAGAGTGTACTGGACCTGTATATAGCTACTGTAGCTAAAAGCAGTATTTAAAATTGAAAATCGAGAAATAGAGTCGCTTTCGCTTACCTGGTTCACCCTTTTCAACCGTCTGAACCTGATAGAAAAATGCAGGCACACTTTTGACAGAGCAGAAGCAAAGCTGACCACTGGAAAATATGGAGTTCAGATGTGAAAAAAAAATATATTGCTAATTGAATTGTTTCTCAATAATTATAAGGCAAGATTAATTCCTATATATGTAACGGAACTAGACTGGGTCAATTGTTGGCAACCCGGTAGCTCAATTGGTAGAGCGTACGTCATAATATTGGAGGGTCCCGAGTTTGAACCCTGGTCTGGCTGTGCATTTTTCGATCTGTTACAATAGTGCCTGTGTGACTTCCATTGTTTCAAGCATTGGGTGTACACCTTGCAAGGGGATATATATCTGGTCTTAGGTTGTCAATGCTTTTGTCTTCAGGTGCAAAGACTTTAAAAAAGGAGGGAGGAATGCAGTGGAGCTGGACTAGGTCGATCTTCGACAACCAGGTTTATAGCTCAATTGGTAGAGCACCTGTCTAAGAGTTCAGATTGGGGTCCCGGGTTAGAACCCAGCTCTGGCTGTGCATTTTCCATCTCCTTTTAAATATATAGTGTAGGAAATGTTGCAAAATTAAGAACATGCATGCATGAAAAAAGTACTTATCAATCACGATTCATTGAAATAGTTATTTCGTCACAAAACTCTGTCTTTTTGTATTGATTTCTGCTGTTGTTTTTGTTAAAAGTTATTTCTTTTGAAAGAATTGCAAACACTCAAAGCCAATAAAACCTAGTTGTTTTGTTTTTAGAGCCAAAAAATGCTGCATAATCTTAAAATATATGGAACACAATCCAAACTCTGAAAATGTTGTTTGGCTTTCACTCTTTCTAAAACTTAAAAATCATTGACAAAATGGGACATCTTAATAACTAAACACTTCAACGAGAGTGGGCTTGAGCACAGAATCTGAGTTTGAGCAAAAGAACAGTTTTATGAATATGAACCCTGATGAAAAGAAGATGTGTAACAGATCTGTAAACCATGTGTCAAACTTGTTGATTATTACCGTTATATTGTTGCTTTTATCTTTAAAGGGTTTGAAAGGTACCCTCCAGTCTATGGATGAGGAAATGCCCAGGTCAGAAGCATGTATCAGTAACCGCCAGGCTTTGATGAAGGAGTTGCACATTGAAAAACTAATGAAGAAAAACAAGGTAAATAGGAATTGATGTGATGTAGAACTTGCATTGGTCCAATGCATAGATATTGTTATATCCTATGCAAAACAGGTTATATGTTATTGTTTAGCTGAGATGTTTGACCTTATACAGGTCAAATAAAAAATGTTCATGCTTGTGGTTACTCTTCCTACCCAAATATTTTGTGCCATATACCCTAAAGTTTCGACTGTTTTTCAAGAAGAAGCCCTGTTAAAGTCAAGATCTATCTCTTATATAAACCTTATGAGAAAACAAGTAAAATTATAGAATTTATTACTTACCTAGGCTACACTATTCTTTCAGACCTGTAACTGTTTTTGTAACAGGAAACATACATCTTTGTATACTTGGCCTTAAATATTTTCTATAAATATTTCCAGTACTAGCTATAGCATGTTAACATTTAAAGGGATGAGTGTGCAATATTTCCTTAAACCAAATTCTGCTCAACTTTACCGACAGTTTCTGCATATTTGAAGTTTTGCATGCATTTTTACAACATGCAAATGAAACAAAGTGCTCATGATCATATGAGGTAAAACTAGCAAAAAAATGCTAATGTGAGCAAAATCACCAATTTGAATAAAGATAAGCTGTAGGATAATGGTCACTGATGAATTCACAAGCTCCTCCTCTTTTTGTTTCAATGAAAATAACAATATTTCGAGTCTCAAAATTATAAGCTTGTATTGCTGTTTGTAACTTTAATAATGTGTTCTAAATATTCAACAGAAACTCAGTAGTTCTCATGTACTGCTAATTTATTGTTTTTGTGCCAAGCATATGATAGCATTTTCTGTATGGGATAATGAAGATGTTTGTCGAAACTGTTTCGTTATTCAGGAGATGATGGACCCCCTTCGGGCTATGATTGAAGTGATCACAAAGTACTTACTGGAGAGAAATGATGGAAATCTCGACCGGCCAACCAGCTCTAAGACCCGTAATCAACGGGATGACCATAGTCCAGACACACAATATTCCCCGGGAACAGACAAACTTGACTTCAAGTTTTCTAGTGAGTCCATGGGTGCTGCGTCCTCAAAGAGAAGACCTTCTGGCTCTGCTGTAAGGACTGTAGGTGTGTATATTTATATATAAAACAGAACTGTCATCTCCACAGCCATAGGTGTAAGTAAGTGTCGACCCGGAAGTGGAGAACTGCTGCCTTCAGAGTAGGATTTTTTTTATGTTTTTTGCTAAAGAAAAAGGAGTTATCACTAGTAAATTGTCTATTAGTGATTAAAGAATGACTCTTGATATTGTAAACACTGATTTCAGTATGCAATGATACCGTAATATTGCAAAATACCACCCCCAAACATAAAGTCCTACCATTCAGCAACATAACCATTAGTGTGAGTCTGTCAGATTTTTTTTACAACTTCCACGATGTACCATCCTCAAAATTTGAGGGGTTGCGTTCACTAACGTCATGACAAAATTGAAGACTCTATTTAAGTTATCTTGTTGATTATAATAGCATAATGATAGCATTGACTGGCTTTAAAGTGGGGTGTCACTACACCCTATCATTAGATCAGTATCTTAAACCCATTTATATCCTATTTATGCATGAATCCAGCCAAACCACTAACTTCTTTGCCTTCAATTTTGTCATAAGGCATATTCCAGGTGGACAGAGAATTGTAGGTATTTGAAGTGATTGTAACCCCTGGAATGTTGAGGAAGACGATGTACAAGTATTTACAGCTTTATACTGTTACATGTACCATAAGTTTCTCCAGGGAGGGACACATAGGATTGGATTAGAAGCCATTCTAATACTCTATAGCTTACAGTTCAAGGTAAGTTTGTTACAGGCCCTCAGATGTTAAAATGTAAATATTTGGTTTTGTTACAGCTCCCACAAAGACAAAGACCGGTGACCTAGTAATTGAAGATAACCTGGAGAGCGAGACAGTTCTGGGCGATGGAAAGTCAGGTGTTCTTGCCCAGGAGAGCGCAGAATACACTCCGTCCACACAAAAGTCTCGCCCTCGTTCTTCAGCCAAACATCGAGGTCTGACCGGGCCCGTCACCAGTAACCTTGATGTATGTAGACTCTTAAAACAGCTTTACTAGCTTCTAAGCTTAAACATAGTTATGTAATACAAAAACTATGTCAAACACAGTGAAACCTTATTTATAGGAGATGTGTTTTCATATAAAAAAAGAATACTGGGAAGATAATGAAATTGCTTGTTTACTGGGACACTTTTTATGTAACTATGCATATTAGTTAGAAAAGAAAATTGTTCCCTTAAATACTTGATAACTGGCCATGGACATGCATACAAGTATGTTGTTCAACTATATTTAACATTGTCAACATTATTATCTGTTAAAAGTCATGCTAATTGTTTATTGCGACACAACGGTTGAAGGGGCATAAAGTTTTAGCCTTTTCTGTCTTTTTAGATTCCCATGCCTATGTGTGTATGTACAACATTTTGGCTAGACTTACACATGCATGTGTAGCTCAATTATCCTAATGCTAGAAGTCTTATATTCATCACATTTCATATATAAATGTCGGTCATTTTGGCCTGTATTTTCTGCTTCACTCATGAAGACAGCATGATTTAATAGGTCCATTGCTCAGATGCCAGAAGTCACACATTCATCAAACTTCATACACCTGCACATATATTTTGCTGGAATCTTTGTCTCCAGGATAGACGGAAGATACAGCGTCCCCGTCCAATGTCAGGAGTATCTAGGAAGGGAAGTACCCCATCCTCGACTTCCACAGAAAAGGAAGTCTCTTTGGTATCGTCCAGTAACAAGGAACCTTTGTTAGTGACACCTAAAACTGATCTGGACAATATAGATACTCTGATCTCTCGACCGGTAGAACACAGAAGTTCCATAAAAAATGTCCTGGAGGTTGGTGCTCCTGTGAAGGCTTCGAAGACCAGTCGTCGCCAGAACTCTGTTGAGAAGGAAGAGCCCCACTACAGTGTGGATAAGTCCAGTATCAGTAAACAACCACCCTCCCGTGATACACTGCCACAGAGGTAGGTACAAAACTAGCTATACACTACCACAGAGGTAGGTACAAAATTAGCTATACACTACCACAGAGATAGGTACAAAACTAGCTATACACTACCACCTGCACAGAGGTAGGTACAAAATTAGCTATACACTGCCACAGAGGTAGGTACAAAATTAGCTATACACTCCACAAAGGTAGATACAAAATTAGCTATACACTGCCACAGAGGTAGGTACAAAATTAGCTATACCCTCCACAGAGGTAGGTACAAAATTAGCTATACACTCCACAGAGGTAGGTACAAAATTAGCTATACACTACCACAGAGGTAAGTACAAAATTAGCTATACACTGCCACAGAGGTAGGTACAAAATTAGCTATACACTCAACAGAGGTAGATACAAAATTAGCTATACACTGCCACAGAGGTAGGTACGCAATTAGCTATACACTCCACAGAGGTAGGTACAAAACTAGCTATACACTCCACAGAGGTAGGTACAAAATTAGCTATACACTCCACAGAGGTAGGTACTAAATTAGCTATACACTGCCACAGAGGTAGGTATTATATTAGCTATACACTGCCACAGAGGTAGGTACAAAATTAGCTATACACTCGCAGTGAGGGTTATTATGTTAATTTCACAGAAAGAGTGGGTCAAGTGGTGTTCTCAGGAAACCATAAGGGTCAGATGCAAAGATCAGGAATGAATCTTGAAGGACTTTCTAAAATGTTTTAAATGATAATCATTTTCCATAAGTTTTCACTTTTTGTTCTCTTTTCAATATTTGGTAGACATAGACAATATCACTTTCTTTCATTTTCCAGTAGGCCATCATCTTTTAAATCTACTTCAACTAAAGTTGGTGATGTAGAAATTGGAGATGTGGATGACCTTGATAATGAAGTTGCCAACCTTGACCTTGGGCCCAGACTTCCTGTTGGGCGACCAATTCAGAACCTTGTAGCTGCGCGACCAATTACTCTACAGACAGCTGTTGTAAGTCTTTCCCAAAGTTTTCTTGTTAATTTTTATTAATTAGTTGATGATCTTTTATTCATGTAGTAGTTATTTGGGAAACAAAGTATGTACAACTCATTCATCTTTGTGACTGAGAGCTTGTGGACAAGAAACACACAAGCAGCAATTAGCTTCTTAAGTACAAGGCACTTATATATATTATATATAACTTAACCAGATTGTTCTGTCTACAAATCTGTTCAAACGTGTCTCTGTATACTGATTAATAATTTTGCGAAAGACTAAGAGGAGGGAAACCATGACACTCAGGTGATTCACAACCAAAAGGTTAAAATCGAGTTAATATCTGATTCTGTAGGCAATAAGAATGAAAACGACATCACTCTGATATGCCTGTCTTTTATTGATGAGAGATAATATGTTATTGGATTGGTATTGGTCTAACTGTTTCAATGCTTTCTTATTTGGGGTATGGATTCTTACTTAAGGAAATTGTTTCAGTGAAACTTAATAGCTAGTCCACATAAATTAGCCATCATTATCAGGTATGCCCTCCGGTCAAGAAACAAATTTAGTTAAAAACTCATAGCAATGTCAAGCATGACCAGGTAGTGTGGTAGGCCATACCACCATCAGGATCACACTCAAAGGTCAAGATCACTAAAGGGGTCAAAATTTAGATAACATTTCCCTACATTTTGATAATTTTCAAACAATTGCCACGGCCCCGTCTGCTATTTACTATAACTGCACTGTGCTGGCTATTGCTGGCCTACCAGTGTTTTATATTAGTTACTTACACATTAACATGATTCTGTTTTATTTAATAGCACTGTTGTTTTAATTACAGAACCTGAAGACTCTAATATTCGGCAGTGCCAATCAGAACTTCAATGATGAGTGGCGCTACCAAAGCTTTACTTTCTGTGATCTCCCGAGTCTCAAGTTTGGCTTCGTACAGAAAAAGGTACGGATATATCATTATATTGAATTCATTTATTGGTTATATTCAAGTGAACGTTAGAAAGCGGTTTGGTCCCATAGGTAATTTAAATGTTATAAGATTTTTCTTCTTCCATCTCGTCTTCTTTCAAGTCATCTATAAAATCCATCTACTCAGGTCATATGCTTGATCAAGTCGTCAACCCACAAGTTTGAGAGATTCCTGAATTATATATGACAATAATAAAGAGAGAAATTTAGTATGTTGCTGGCCTGCCGTGTTGTAGGGAGGACCGTGTGGGGTGCTGGCAGCAGTACAAGCTTGTGTCCTTGTCGAGATGTTGTTTGGTGACTGTAAGATTCCCACCAACAGATTGTAAGTACCAGCAAGTGTGGAGACTTGTTTTGAGTCTGTTTTGTAGTCATGTTCAATCAACACAATCCAAACATATTAAAGGTGTTCTACAATAGCCTTTATCGCTATGGAAGATATGTCGAGAGTTCACGTAATCATATTTATGTGATGAAAGGTTGATGATGTCTGTTTTGTTTACAGCAGTGACCCCACTATAGAGGAGCGCAGTGGTTGCCTGGCATCAGCCCTAGCACAGATATTATGGAGGGCCGGCGAGAGTAGGACAGCGGTTGTAGTGCTGTAGGTGACATATACCCACACATACAGGCTAACAGCATGCATGTACCTGGCAAGTCACCTGCACTTGTGCAGGTCAACTCGTAAATGTCCTCCATGACTTTCACAGATTGTAGTGTACTATTTTAGAATCTTCTGCATTTGCTAGAGCTTATAGATCAACATTTGAAATCATTTAAAAAATCAACTGTTTGAAGCTTTGTTCAATCGAATACTCCATAGACTAGCCATACAGGTTTTTGTGAAAATGCAAATTATAATACTTCAAATGTCATTGCTATCAGTACTAATTCTGATAACTGAAGAATTTACATACTTAAAAATGTAAATGAACTGCAATGAGCAGACTTGACCTGCATATTGAGTATGACCCTAATGTCATTTCTGAGAACTTGGCAGGTATGTGCAGGCATATACATATTTATACAGTTTAAGAGTATTTGTGTAAACACACAGAAAGAAGCCAATATTAAGACATTTTTATACACAGCTTTGAAAAATCTTTTTAAACTACCGGGTATATATCTAGTATCTGTAGTTATCCATAGCCAATTGATATCTACATATTTGAACTTATGTGTAGTTTATTGTGTGATTGAGAAAGCTGTAAGATTACTACCAGATGGTTCAAAATGACTGTCTCATTTAATGTTTGACTGTCAAGTGTCATTCCATCTTATATTTGTCATGTTGTTGACTTGTTTCAGTGTGTGCAGCAATCATGAAATTGTAATATATTTATTTCAGTCCATCAGGAAAACCTCAGTTCCAAACAGGGAAGGGAAAGTTCAAACAAGACGATTTAACAGAAACGGTAAATATAGTTGTTGCAGGCTGGAACCAGACATCCTAACATCTAGAGCTGTATTCCAGAGGCTAACATGAATAATAATAATAATAATAATATTTATTCAGGTATAATAGGCATGTTATTACAAGATATCACAATTTAGAATAAAATATATAATTAAAATCACAATGCAGCTTGTACTTGTAAAAAAGGAGTATTTTGTATTAAGACTGAGAATAAAAAGAGATCTATCCTAATAAAAGGTTTCTTAATTCAATCCTTGACATATATCACAGAGTATAAAAATCTAAAAAAAAGTCTGATACACCGTAAAAAAAAGGCAGATATTACTATAAAATGAGACAGATTATTTTTAGTACCGGTATATGAAGATAGATATAATTAGGTCGCATAATAGGAATGGTGGTGAGTGCCATTTACCTAGGATTACCCATAAAAGACACAAAGTGGCTTATTTCCAATGGGGTCCTTGAAAATTGGAAGAAAAAAAAAGAAAAAAAGAATACTAATTGATATGTTTATCTGCTATATGTGTTGAAACTGTTGTGTGACCATTTTACAGGGATTTATCAGTAAGCATTACAAACAAACAGAAAGTGAAGCTGTCGTGCAGCTGCTGTAACCTAGCTAAACTTCATTGTCTTCTTTGTTCACGTACAGTTGATGATAAACCACTTTAAAAATCATACAGACCTGAAGAATTTTATTACACAGAATTTGAGCCAGGTAGGCAATTTTTACATCCTCAAGAACATATTCATGTGATAAAAAAGTTATTTACTTTTTGCTATGGTAATATTTTGGTATTAAAATCTACCATTATTATGATATAATCATACACATGTTTAAAAATTGTTATTCCCAAAATGAAAATTGAAATTGATTCTATTCATAAGCTTTAAAAGAAATTCAATTTTACGTTGAAATTCAACATGGAGGCAAAAATACTATCGATGATCTTTCTGTTTTAATATCTCATTTTAGAAATTCTTCTGTGTTAATACTAAAGTTAATTTGAAAAAAATTGAAGCATGGATTTATATTTGAAATGTCATCTTTAAAAGTGTAAGACTTTCCATTGATTTGTAATGACAGTTTGAGCTGGACGGCACAAGTGGTGTGATTCTGACTCTATATTCTTGCATCATGTCCCGATTCATGGATTTGTAAGTATAACTGGGGGAAAATTTGTGAAGTGAAAATTTCCATTTTCCAATATGAACAACTGTCAAACCAAAAGTCATTAATCTTTTCTGACAACATTGATATTCAAGTCTTATATACAGTGTACTGTAATCCTGTATCAATCATTTTGATTAATAATGAAATTTAATTCCTATGACATCTGAGTGTATGCTTTAAGGCTCTTAATGGTTTTTGGTTCCATTCGATGGTGTCAATTTCAAGTCGCACAACTTTAATCTATCATATTTGAATAATTTTAATCACGACAAGAAAAGTCCAATTAATGTAATGTATTAAAAGTTTGATGACAGTAATTTCTGAATTGTTTGTCATACAGGGTGAGAAGTGATATGGATGAACCAACTGGTAAACTGTTGGGGGCCCATGGATACTGCACCCAGGTAAGTACTGACAGGTAAACTGTTGGGGGCCCATGGATACTGTACTCAGGTAAGTACTGATAGGTAAACTGTTGGGGGCCCATTTAAACTGTACTCAGGTAAGTCCTGACAGGTAAACTGTTGGGCGCCCATGGATACTGTACTCAGGTAAGTACTGACAGGTAAACTGTTGGGGGCCCATGGATACTGTACTAAGGTAATTAAGTACTGACAGGTAAACTGTTGGGGGCCCATGGATACTGTACTCATGTAAGTTCTGACAGGTAAACTGTTAGGAGCCCATGGATACTGTACTCAAGTAAGTACTGACAGGTAAACTGTTGGGGGCCCATGGATACTGTACTCAGGTAAGTACTGACAGGTAAACTGTTTGGGGCCCATGGATACTGTACTCAGGTAAGTACTGACAGGTAAACTGTTGGGGGCCCATGGATACTGTACTCAGGTAAGTTCTGACAGGTAAACTGTTTAGGGCCCATGGATACTGTACTCAGGTAAGTACTGACTGGTAAACTGTTGGGAGCCCATGGATACTGTACTCAGGTAAGTACTGACAGGTAAACTGTTGGGGGCATATGGATACTGTACTCAGGTAAGTACTGATAGGTAAACTGTTAGGGGCCCTTGGATACTGTACTCACGTAAGTACTGACTGGTAAACTGACTCGGGCCCATGACAGCTGAACCCAGGTAAGTACTGACAGGTAAACTGATTAGTGCCGATGTATACTGTGCTTAGGTAAGTACTGACAGGTAAACTGATTAGGGCCCGTGGATACTATACACTGGTAAGTACTGACAGGTAAACTGATTAGGGCCCGTGGATACTATACACTGGTAAGTACAGTCATGTATACTGTTTGGCCCAGACTTTTTTCCCTAGCCAAAATATGTTGTGGCTTATTTTCAAAGGATGAAGAAAAACCTGGAGTATTTTTCCAGTTTTTTTAAGAAATGCTACAATGTATTAACAACTCATGTAGGCGCAGGCTGTTGTAAAATTTTAGTAGAAAAAACACTGAGTATTTAGAAGCAAATAAATTCTTATTAATGGATTTAAAAAAAACTTTGTACATATATCATAAAAATCTAAATGATAAGTTGTGTTTATAATGGTGTTGTGATATACAGGACATGGTGAACCTGATACTGACAGGCAGGGCTGTATCCAATGTGTTCAACGACGTTGTGGAGCTGGAAACTGGTGACGGCACCCCTGGGACTATCCTCAGAGGACCTAACTCCCGCTGTGACACTGGTCTGCTGTCTCTTTTTGAGCATTACAGATCCTGTCAGGTACATCGCTGTCCGTTGTATTGTCACGCTGTCCGTTGTATTGTCACGCTGTCCGTTGTATTGTCACGCTGTCCGTTGTATTGTCACGCTGTCCGTTGTATTGTCACGCTGTCTGTGTGGTGTTGGAGAGGTTATGTCTGATTTATATTGACAGGAGGAGATGTATCAGAAGACACCACGCTTCCCTATCTATGTACTTTCATGTACATGTTACACGGACTGTGTGATGCTGTTTTACACTGTGTGATGTTAGAGGGATTATGTCTGATTCTGTATTGACCGGTGGGGACGTATCAGCTACCCTATATGTGTGTATCATGTTACACTATCTGTGTGATGTTAGAGGGATTATATCTGATTCTGTATTGACCGGTGGGGACGTATCAGCTACCCTATATGTGTGTATCATGTTAAGCGGACTGTGTGATGTTAGAGGGATTATATCTGATTCTGTATTGACCGGTGGGGACGTATCAGCTACCCTATATGTGTGTATCATGTTACACGGATTGTGTGATGTTAGATTATGTCTGATTCTGTATTGACCAGTGGGGACATATCTGAAGACGCCACGCTTCCCTATCATGTTGATGTTAGACTATGTCTGATTCTGTATTGACAGGTGGGGACATATCTGAAGACGCCACGCTTCCCTATCTGGGTTATTTGTAGTGAAAGTCACTTCAGTGTGATGTTCTCTTTGAATAAAGAGTTGGTCAGTAACTGGAAGGCAGAGCGAAGGTTTGACCTCTTCTACTTTGATGGTCTGGCCAGACAGCAGGAACTCATCAAGTTAACCATTGGTCAGTATTACTAACTTAATTCGGTACCTTAGGCATAGTTCTACTCTAGCCGTTTATTTTGATGTTGACTTATTTTTATTTTTAGCTCACCTGGTCCGAAGGACCTGCATAGTGAGCTTATGCCATACCGCAGTGTCCGTCGTCCGTCTGTCAACTTTTTCTTTAAAATGCTATTTGTCCTGAACGGCCAAGTAGATTTTCACTAAATTTAGTATGGAGCATCCTTGGGCTAAGGGGACTCAATTTTGTATTAACAGTGGGTGTGGCCACCCAAGGAGTGGAGGGGCGGGGCCAAATACAGGGAAAACCTTTAAAATCCTTCTTCTACGGTAGGGACTAAAGAATATTATCCTAATTTAGTTTGGAGCATATCCTTGGACTAAGGGCAAGGGGACTCAATTTTGTATTAACAGTGGGTGTGGACCCCCTGGGAACAGAGGGGCAGGGACCATTAGGGGAAATATAGGTAAAAACCTTTAAAATCCTTTTTCTACCGTAGGGATTAAGGACTATTATCCTAATTTAGTCTAGTCATCCTTGGGCCAAGGGAGCTCCATTTGGTATAAACAGTGGGTTTGGACCCCATGGGGGCAGAGTTGCGGGGCCAATTATGGGAAATATAGGTAAAAACCTTTGAAATCCTTCTTCTAACGTAGGGATTTTATTCCAATTCGGTTTGGAGCATCCTTGAGCCAAGGGGACTCAATTTTGTAGAAACAGTGGGTTTGGACCCCCTGGGGGCAGGGGGGGGGGGGCAATAGGGAAATTAGAGGGGATTAAGGGATTTTATCCCAATTTGGTCTGGAGCATATCCTTGGGCCAAGGGGACTCAATTTTGTATAAATGGTGGGTGTGGCCCCCCTGGGGGCAGAGGGGTTGGGTTGAATAGGGGAAATAGAGGTAAACATTTATAATCCTCCTACCGTAGGGATTAAGGGATTCTATCCCAATTTGGTTTGGAGCATTTGGCCAATTGTCTCAATTTTGTTTAAACAGTAGGTGTGGCCCTCCTGGGGGCAGAGGGGTTGGACCCATGGGGGAAATAGAGGTTAAAACCTTTGTAATCCTTCTTCTATAATTTGGATTAAGGGATCTTATCCCAATTTAGCCTGGAGCATCCATGGGCAAATGGGACTTAATTCTGGGCCTCTTGTTTATGGGAGTCATGCCCCTTCTCTGACTTTGTCCATAGTTATTCATCTTATAAACTCATGGCTAATGTTCATAAAATCTGTATGGTCCCAATGATGCAAAGATTTACACATCATTAAATAAGGTTTTGGAATCACAACTTATTATCAAGGCAAAGAAAACTGTCACAAAAAGGACTTAATAAGATAGATTGGGTAGGATATATATGATGTACATGGCAGTTCTTATAATTTTCATCAGCTAATGTACTAAAATTTGTGAACCAAATTGCAATACATGTATTTATATTATTTTCAATAATTTCACACTCCCATTTATATTGAAAAACATAAAAATGTGACTATTTTTCTTTTCCAGACACAACATTGAAATATGAAGTTGGAGAGGAAGAGCTAGTTCCCCCACTGGAACACTGTATACGAACAAAGTAAGTCTTCCTCCCATGATAAGTCCTCAAACTCTTGATCCCATTCCCCCACTGGGACACTGTATACGAACAAAGTACGTCTTCCTCCCCTGATAAGTCCTCAAACTCTTGATTCTCATTCCCCCACTGGAACACTGTATGCGAACAAAGTAAGTCTTCCTCCCCTGATAATTCCTCAAACTCTTGATCCCCATTCCTCCACTGGCACACTTTATACCAACAAAGTAAGTCTTCCTCCCATGATAAGTCCTCAAACTCTTGATCCCATTCCCCCACTGGGACACTGTATACGAACAAAGAAAGTCTTCCTCCCCTAACAGGAGTCCTCAAACTCTTGATCCCATTCCCCCACTGGGACACTGTATACGAACAAAGAAAGTCTTCCTCCCCTAACAGCAGCCCTCAAACTCTTTATCCCCATCCCCCCACTGGAACACTGTATATGAACAAAGTACGTCTTCCTCCCCTGATAAGTCCTCAAACTCTTGATTCTCATTCCCCCACTGGAACACTGTGTAGGAACAAAGTAAGTCTTCCTCCCATGATAAGTCCTCAAACTCTTGATCCCCATTCCTCCACTGGAACACTGTACACCAACAAAGTAAGTCTTCCTCCCATGATAAGTCCTCAAACTCTTGATTCTCATGCCCCCACTGGAACACTGTATATGAACAAAGTAAGTCTTCCTCCCCTTATAGCAGTCCTCAAACCCTTTATTGAAGTTGGAGAGGAAGAGCTAGTTCCCCCCCTGGAACAATGTATACGAACAAAGTAAGTATTCCTCCCCTAACAGCAGTCCTCAAGCTCTTTATCCCCATTCCCCCGCTGGAACACAGTATACGAACAAAGTAAGTATTCCTCCCCTAACAGCAGTCCTCAAACTCTTTATCCCCATTCCCCCACTGGAACACTGTATATGAACAAAGTAAGTCTTCCTCCCCTGATAAGTCCTCAAACTCTTGATCCCCATTCCTCCACTGGAACACTGTATACCAACAAAGTAAGTCTTCCTCCCCTAACAGCAGTCCTCAAACTCTTGATCCCCATTCCTCCACTGGAACACTGTATACCAACAAAGTAAGTCTTCCTCCCCTAACAGCAGTCCTCAAACTCTTGATCCCCATTCCCCCACTGGAACACTGTATACGAACAAAATAAGTCTTCCTCCCCTAACAGCAGTCATCAAAATCTTTATCCCCATTCCCCCACTGGATCACTGTATACAAACAAAGTAAGTCTTCCTCCCCTAGTAACAGTCATCAAACTCTTTATCCCATTCCCCCACTGGAACACTGTATACGAACAAAGTAAGTCTTCCTCCCCTAGTAACAGTCATCAAACTCTTTATCCCATTCCCCCACTGGAACACTGTATACCAACAAAGTAAGTCTTCCTCCCCTAATAGCAGTCCTCAAACTCTTTATCCCATTACCCCACTGGAACACTGTATACCAACAAAGTAAGTCTTCCTCCCCAAATAGCAGTCCTCAAACCCTTTATCCCATTCCCCCACTGGAACACTGTATATGAACAAAGTAAGTCTTCCTCCCCTAGTAACAGTCCTCAAACTCTTTATCCCCATTCCCCCACTGGAACACTGTATACGAACAAAGTAAGTCTTCCTCCCCTAGTAACAGTCCTCAAA